CCTGGGCCAGCTGGCGCGGGACCCGGCGCCCGTTGCGCTCAACAGGGAGATTGGCGTGTTCCTGATCACGGTGGTCACCGCCCTGCCAGAGACCCCGGCCGCCGACGCCGTCGAGGCGCTGAACCAGTTGTTCGATATCTACGGAGACGAAGACATCCCGTGCGACAAGGAGGTCTTTTGGAAGGACAACTTTATCCAGCACCTCGAGGCGGCCCAGCCCAAGGTCAAGGCCTTGGTCAAGACGATTGACAAGCGGACTCTTCCCGAGCTGCGCACTCGTACCGAGGAGGCTGTGCTGAACCTCGGACGGTTCATCTCGTACAAGAAGAAGAACAAGGCATGAGGGGGGGATCCGGGGTTGGATACGAAATCTTTGAAGAAGATGGGCGATCCCGGGGCAACTTCTTGATTTTAACATATCACGAAACTACTCATCAAAGGATGAAGGATGGAGGTGTCAAAAGTACATGTTTTTGGAATCATGAAGCAATCATAGCCACGATACAACGAACGGGAGGGAAAGGTGCTTACCTGGTAGACAAAAAAAGCCCTCGAAAGGGGGATAAGGGGAACTTTTGGGGGTGGGAGGAGACACGAGCATTGCACTTCTGAGATGGTTAGGGACATAACCGCGGTGGTCAATAAATAACAAACTCACTGATTCGTTGATATAACCATGCTGTATGCATGCTTGACGCCCCGAAAATCCGTAGTCGAGACCTGTCAGGCTGTAGTGAAGAATGACCCCTTGACCCTCAAACACCCCTCTCGCCTGTAGATAGAAAAGAAGAAAACAATGCAAACCCGCATTGGAGCCCGCCCCCATATCGTGATCCCAGACTCAACCAATAGGCTTCATCTTCTTCTTCTTCTTCCCGTCACCCGACTTTCCCTTTTGGAAATCCCGCCAGCTGCTGATACGCTGGTCCCGCGTCGCCTCCCAATCCTGATCATGCTGCCTCTTCCTCTTCCGCTGCTCAATCTCCTCCTCCTCCTTCTTCTGCTCGCGGCCCTCCTCCTGCATCTGCGCCTTCATCTGCCGCCGGCGGCGGTGCTCGTTATCAATGAGCACCTCGCGCGCCTTGTTGCGCCAACTCTTTGCAAACTCGTCCGTCTTGAGCTCGGGGCTGTCGACGGTCCACTTGTTCTCGCGGATGAGGAGCATGCGGGCGTCGGCAATGGCCTCGTCGAGGCGCTCGCGGTGCTTCTCGTCCATGAGCTCCGTTTGGGCCTTTTTCAGACGGTCAAAGGCGTCGGGCGCGAGCGGGTTCTTGGTCTTGTCCGGGTGGATGAGGAGGGACTTTTTGCGGTAGCAGATTTTGATGTCGGATTCGGGGACGCCTGGTTGCAGGTCGAGGACGGCGTAGGCGTCGAGCCTAAAGGCTTTGAGGATTCTGTCGATTTCTGCATCCTGTAAAACGGGGGAAGGGGGGAATCTGTTAGCGGTTGGATTCAAAGGTGTGCGACGGTGGTTTGTCTGGCGATCGCATTTACCTTGTCAAACTCCTTTGCCTCGATCTCGAGCGCATCGAGTGCGTCCTTCTCCTCTTTGACGTCTTCGCTGGCCATTATGATGATCGCGGACCTGTTGAGAGAAGTATGGATTGACAGCTGTGCCTCGGTGGACTTACAATGAGACTGAGACTGTAGATGTAAAGTAGTTGAAGGCGGACGGTCGCGTTGGTGAGCACGAGACGAGGCTCAGTGACAGCCACTTGGACCCGTTAAAGACCCTGGTCGACAAACGCCTGCCCCACGACGCTAAGATAAGACCAGCCGATAAGAAATTTCTCGTCCCGCCCAAGCCCAAATTTTCGAAAAGACGCCGCCCAGCTCTTGGATGCTCTGCTCTGCCGTTTCGCAAACCTCACCTTGGGAAAACCACCTTTTCGACGGGCCCAAATCTACGACCGCAAATCCCGGGGGCCTCGCCAGAACAGCACACAGAGTTCCATAATGGGTCGACGCGCCGCATCTCCTACTCCCTCCGACGGAGAGGTCGACATCGCCGGTCACTTGTTCGACGCCAGCGACAATGGCAGCGACGCCGGCCAGGATGTGGGAGGCATTGACTTTGACATGGACGGGATCCTCAACGGCCACGAAGAGGGTCAAGAGGACGACGATGGCGACGAAGCGTTCATTGCGCTGAAGCAGGCTGCGTCGTTTCGCAAGTCGTCAAACATCAAGGGAAAGTCGGTAAAGAGAGGTGGTGGTTTCCAGGCCATGGGTAAGTCGCTGAACCCTACAACGACCTTGGTTCTGTTTGCTAGAGATCTAACATCTGGTGTTACGCAGGTCTGAATGCCGGCCTCCTGCGTGCAATCACGAAGAAAGGATTCTCCGTCCCCACGCCGATTCAGCGAAAGACGATCCCCCTGATCTTGGACCGCAAGGATGTCGTGGGCATGGCGAGAACCGGTTCCGGAAAGACTGCGGCCTTTGTCATCCCAATGATTGAGCGTCTGCGCGCCCACAGCGCCAAGGTCGGCACGCGCGCGCTCATCATGTCGCCGTCGCGTGAACTTGCGCTCCAGACGCTCAAGGTCGTCAAGGAGTTCAGCAAGGGGACGGACCTGAAGTGCATCCTGCTCGTTGGTGGTGACAGCATGGAGGACCAGTTCAGTATGATGTCGTCGAACCCGGATATCGTCATTGCCACGCCCGGTCGTTTCCTCCATCTCAAGGTCGAAATGGGTCTGGATTTGTCGTCCATCAAGTACGTCGTCTTTGACGAGGCCGATCGTCTTTTCGAAATGGGTTTCGCTGCCCAGCTTACCGAGATTCTTCACGCCCTTCCTTTATCGAGACAGAGTTTGCTGTTCTCCGCCACGCTGCCGGCGTCCTTGGTTGAGTTTGCGAGGGCTGGTTTGCAAGACCCGAGCCTAGTGAGATTGGATGCCGAGACCAAGGTTTCCCCCGATCTTGAGAGTGCCTTCTTCTCCGTCAAGGGAGCCGAAAAGGAGGCTTCTCTGCTTCACATTCTCAACGACCTCATCAAGATGCCTCAAGGCACACCTGACGGTGTTCCCCTGGATGTTGCGCCGTCAAAGAAGCGGAAGCGCGAGGGTGGCGGCACTGGTAAACCAACAGAACACTCCACCATTATCTTCGCGGCCACGAAGCATCACGTCGAGTATCTGGCACAACTTCTCACAAAGGCCGGCTACGCAGTCTCTCACGTCTACGGCTCACTAGACCAGGAAGCGCGTCGCATCAACACCGAGAACTTCCGAAACGGTAGAGCAAACATCTTGGTGGTGACGGACGTCGCCGCCAGAGGTATCGATATCCCCGTTCTCGCAAACGTCATCAACTACGATTTCCCTCCGCAACCCAAGGTCTTTGTCCATCGCGTTGGACGTACGGCTCGTGCTGGTCAGAGGGGTTGGGCATACAGTATCGTGCGGGAACTAGACACACCTTACCTGCTGGATCTCCAGCTGTTCCTCGGCCGGAGGCTGGTCGCAGGCCACGAGACCGAAAATCCATCGTACGCCGAAGACGTCGTCGTTGGTGGATTGAAGAGAGACAGAATCGAAATCAACATGGAGTGGATGGACAAGATCCTGAAAGAGGAGGGCGACCTGGAGGCGCTGCGCAAAGTGTCAACAAAGGCCGAGAAGCTGTACCTGAAGACCAGGCATTCTGCTTCAAGCCAGAGCGCGAAACGAGCCAGAGAGCTTGTGGGAACCAAGGGCTGGCACGAACTTCACCCCCTGTTTGGTAAAGATGCCAGCGCTGTGGAACAGGCCCGCAACGACATGATGGCCAAGATTAGTAGCTTCAGACCAGCCGAGACCATTTTCGAGATTGGAAAGGGAGGCAAGGGCTCAAGCAGTGAGGCAGTGGAAGTGATGAAGCAGCTGAGGAAACGCATCACACCACACCGCGGCAACAAGAAGGAGGAACTGGACTCAGACGACGACATGGAGGGTCTGGGAGGCGCCAAGAACGACTCGGATGACGACCTCGACGGAGAGGCAGACGACGGTGCCGCAGACGCCTACAACTCGGACGATTCCGACGACAACGACGGTCTCGAGGTCACAATCACCAACACGGGCGAAAAGGATAAGAAAAAGAAGACGGATTCCTGGCGCGACTCGGACGTCTTCATGTCCTACACCCCGAGAACGATCAACGCGGCCGAGGAGCGCGGGTACGGCGTCACGTCAGGCGCGCAGACGTCGAGTTTCGTGCAGGCGGCGCGCGACGTGCAAATGGACCTCACAAACGACGAGACGGCCAAGGGCTTCGGCGAGCCGACCAGGGCGGCGGGCATGCGCTGGGACAAGAAGCAGAACAAGTACGTGGCGCGTGCCAACGACGAGGACGGTTCCAAGGGGTCCAAGTACGTGCGTGGCGAGAGCGGTGTCAAGATCGCGGCCAGCTTCCAGAGCGGGCGGTTCGACCGCTGGCGCAAGGCCAACAGGTTGGGACGGATCCAGGTCGGCGGCTTGGAGAAGGGCAACGTGCCGGATTTGCCGTCGGGTCGGCAGTACAAGCACAAGCAGGAGAAGGCGCCGAAGCAGGCCGACAAGTTCCGGGACGACTACGAGGTGCGCAAGAAGAGGATTGTCGAGGCCAAGGAGAAGCGTGTCGGTCAGTACAAGGATGGTGCGGGCAGTCGCAAGGAGATCAAGGGTGTCGAGGATATCAGGAAGGCAAGATGGGAGAAGCAGAAGAAAATGGAGAAGAACGCGAGACCGCAGCGCAACAGGAAGTAGAGGGCGTCCTGCTTCGTGTGGGGTTTCCACTATTTGTCAAAATATATCAAGGAAGAGAAAAGCGTTTTTGTTCAAGACTTTGGCGGTATTTCCCGCACTCGTATAAGCTAATTTGGAGAAGCTCATCGATATTTTGATGTACTAAGAGGATCGAGGTCGCCGCTATGCAATGACTCCGGTGTGGGTGGCGGTTAGGGGCAGACGCGTATGGTGGACGAAGTCGTCGGGGCGGAGTCTCTACCAAATCGGAGCCGGTGGCCGCGAACTTGATTTTGGCGGCCGTGACGTAAGGCAGCGAGCGGCACGCGCTTCCGGGTGATGACTGTCAACCAGCAACAGCGAAAAGCCAGGTAATGATACCTACCCTCATTCCACGAATTTCTATATTCAACGTTCAATCATAAGTTAAGCAGCATATCTTACCTAGAACAACAATCAGTCTATCCAGCATATCTCGTTTCAAGAATGACGAAACCAACAACTTCAAAACGCTGCCTCTTATGGGACTACACCAACACTCGCGACCGCCCAGACGCAATAGACCAACTCTTCCCAACCACGTCATCAGCTACAACCAGCAAGGCCTCGGAATCAGCAACTACGCCATTGACAGTCACCCCATTCAAATCCGTCCACAACTGGAACGCATGGTACCCCCCCGAACTCAAAGGCCGGCTCCCCTTCCGCCCCATGATCCGCACACGCGCGCAGCTGGATACAGAAGAGTGGGACTGGATCCGCGACTCGGACGCCGAGATGGTCCACTACCTCAACGAGCCGGAGCGGCAGGGAATCTCACCGGGCGACGCCGCGGCCTGGTGGCTGGAGAAAGTCGTGCCCGAGTTGCGGGAGACGAGGGGCAAGAAGCTTGTTGGGCCGGCGTGTGCTAGTGATCCCGGGGGCGCGGCGTGGCTTGCGGAGTTTATGAGGATTGTCTATGAAGATGAGGAAAAGAAGGAGAAGCAAGAAGAGCATGACGGGGAGAAGAAGAGGATGGGGCCGGATTTCTTTGGAGTGCATTATTACAGCGGTGATGTTGAGCATGCGAAACTGTACCTGACGTCTATGTACGAGCGGTATGGGCTTCCGCTCAACGTGTCGGAGATTGCGTCTATTAGTCGGGACCCGGGCGAGGTGGAGGTGTTCACGGAGGAGCTGAGCGGGTGGATGGATGAGAGGGAGTGGATTGACGAGTATGGGTGGTTTGGGTGTATGGCACACTGCGCCGATGACTTTGTGAGTCCTGCGGCGCAGCTCATGGATGGGGAGGGGAGGTTTACGCCGCTCATGAGGCGGTTGATGGGGCATGATCCGTCATCGACGAGTTGTTGAGGTGAAGTTTGATGTTGTTTCTTCCTCCAGATTGGGAATACCTACATAGTTTGGGTTGAGGACGATGCGGAGTAGCAAAAGTCCGGGCGTATGCTGCATTCCTAAGCAGAGTTCGTCATCAGCATGCTGGTATAACCATTTGTGACAGTATCTGGAAATTCTCGGCGTGTGCTTTGGGATCGACGCGTATTTCATAGGCATAGAAGCTTCATGCTTCACTCGGGAGTATACTACGGCGCACATTGCTTCAACAAGTCGCAAACCGCAACTTACCGTCGCTTAGGCTAACCATCTATGACTTGTGTAAGTGGAGACAGAAGAAATAGCGTCTACTATCCACACATGAAGCAAGCAAGCGGAAACAAGCCTTCACTTGTGTCTTGGCTGCTTCTTTCCGCCTAGCGTCCGCCCCGCCTCCGCGATCTCCCAAAGGAGGGCCTCACTTCCATGTTCCACCGCCCGGGGATCATCGACGACCCGAGAGGTTTGTTCTCGTTACGTACTCGGAAAGTCTCTCCACCTGAGTCAGCTGCACTCAAACGTCAATTGCCCGATTAGGCAAGTCAATTACATGCCGTACATACACCTCGCGGACCACTGCCGGACCCGTAGGCTACGGTTGAACGCAAATGTCTTTCTTCCGGACTACTCCAGTAACTTCGCAACCCTTCTGACCCCGGTTACTACAACTTTGCAGACCTTCTAGAATCGTCAATTGACTCGAGTCTCTCAAGCTGTTTGGGAACAAGCCAATGAGTTTTTGTTTTTACGTACACCACACGTAATGACAACCGGACATTCGGACTCACCTCGCAGGTTTCATCAACTGAGCAATACCAGTATGTTCAATCAACGAATGAGCAAAGCCGTGAATGTGGTCCCAACTCTCTACATTGTTGCCGTTGAGTCTTGGTTGCCTTTTTGGGACGAGCAGAGAGAAGGATATGATGCACTTGGACTTTCGTAGTTCCTAGTAGAGCGAAGAATTTGGCGTGGAGATCAAAAGCGAAAGGCGAGATGATACCGCTTTACAAATATCACGGCGCATAGCCAAGGTTGGCGTTGGTTTTGCTTTCTCCTCATTAGAATCTGAAATTGATTTTAGACTTGAAACTTGGGGGCGACACTCAAGCCATGAAGGCAAGCGAAAAGACAACGGACTCCTTCCAGGAGCATGTCTCTGGACAATCCAACAAGCCTCTCTCTCGGCCACCTCATTCTTTGGAGGCTATTCAGGTCCTCGAGGAACTCCATGTCGACCAAGGTCAAGGTCTGGACCCCGAAGATGCCGTCCGTCGGCTGGCGGAACTGGGGCGCAATGAGCTTCGTCAACAAAAGGGCGTCCAGCCTTTGGAAGTCTTTCTCGAGCAGATTTTCAATGCCATGACTTTGGTAAGTTGTCTCTCGAGTCCAACACAGCTATAATCGCACCTGTCAAGTTGTCATTTAGACGCAGCAGACCCAATAGCCGCGAAATTGCGAGCTGATAACCATCAAAAATAGGTCCTCCTACTAGCACTCGGCGCAAGTTTCGGCATCCAAGCCTGGATAGAAGGCGGCATCCTAGGCGGCATCATCGTCCTCAACATCTTCATCGGCTTCTTTCAGACACTCCAAGCCGAAAAGACAATCAACTCGCTAAAGAACCTCGGCAAACCGACATGCAAAGTCTTGCGTGACGGCAAGACGATCGAGATACAGACGGCGGACATAGTACCGGGAGACATCATCGACTTGAACACGGGCGACTCGGTACCAGCGAATATCATACTTATTGAGGCTGTCAACCTGGAAGCAGACGAAGCGTTGCTTACTGGAGAGAGTGCACCCGTTTCCAAGATGCCCAACTCGACTTTTGATGAAGATACGGGCCCTGGGGATCGCCTTAATGTGGTGTATAGCTCCACGGTTATCACCAAGGGTCGCGGGCGCGGCGTCGTGTTTGCTACTGACATGTTTACCGAGATTGGTCTGATTGCTGGTGCCTTGAACGGCGGCACGGGGGACAAGGCCCTGTCGCGGGTGAAGCGCAACGAGGACGGGAGCGCCTCGGTCTTTGCGTACTTTGCCGCCGGGTACATGGCCATCAAATCGTGGGTAGGCGACTTTCTGGGACTAACGATCGGCACACCGTTGCAGAGAAAGCTATCTCAACTGTTTCTGTGGTTGTTCTTGCTTGCCATCATCTGCGCAATCATTGTCCTCGGTGTCAACAAGTTTGATTCTCGAAAGGATGTCATCATCTACGCGGTTACTACTGCGATTGGGACGATCCCTGTCTCGCTTTTGTTGGTTCTGACGGTGACCATGGCTGCGGGCACGAAGAAGATGCTTGAGCGTCATGTTATTGTCCGGAATCTTTCGAGTTTGGAAGCGCTTGGGGGAGTTACTAGTAAGTGGTCCTTCTTTTGTTACTTTTGTTAAAGGAGAGCCTGGCAGTTATCCAGTCACTAACC